ATTTGATAATGATTTGTTTTAAGATGTATTAAAAGAAGGCATGGAATTCTAATGTATTATTCATTGTATTATTCATGTTTAACTCAGCATATTTATCATTCAGATACACAGCATTTTTTTATTAATAGTATGGTGATAATGTTTATAATAATTTGAAAAGTGTCCATCAACATTGGAAATTTCACATATCACTTTCACTCCCTCCTTAATGCACAGCTGAAGTGCTATTTGACATATTTAAATCACATCAGTATTCAAACACCTTTTCATAAAGAATAAATAGATCACATAAACTTTTCACATATAAATCTCGTATAAATCATTAGTATGAGTCAGAATAAAAATATCACCTTCGTATCTCCATGGGGAAGACATACAGTTTAAAAAGGTGTGTACAGAACTCAGATAAATATTGCACACAATAATCTTAGAATAATTGTTTTGTTTTTTTCAAATGAGAAGACGTACGACTTTCCTTTATAAGGATAAAAAGTGACAAAACATTTTAAATGTTATCACTTTTGTAAAAAATATACAGTTTAAAACATACATTACAAAATGACCAAAAACACACACAAAAATTAAATGCTTTATAGCCTTCTGTTTCGGCGACGAATGAGTTGGTGCGAGCACAAGACCCGAATGTCCAATTCATTGCCAATTTGAACTTTCGCTTCTGCCTGCAACAAAAACATTATTATCTCCCCTTCTCAATTACATTTTGAAAGTACACTTCAGTCATCTACGGAGTTTAGTTTACCTTTAACTTAAGAATTGCACTTCTGACAACAGCATCTGATGTGGAGATCCTTGCGCCATCAAGATGTTTGATAGTTAGGAACCAGGCACTTACTGTTCCATGACGCTTTGAGGTCTTAAAATGCTCACAGGAAGCAACGTAAGTGCACACCAACGGAAATTTTTCCAGCACGAAGAACTGGTTTAAACACTGAAACACATAAACAATCTTGAAACTGTCACCTCATTTCTGATGCAGGCATTGTTTAAATTTCAGGTTATAAATACACTATTACCTTTCGCACATTTCGTATCATGAGGAGGCTGTCATGTCCAATACATCGAGCGCACGGTAATTTTCCCTTCTTACTTATGTCTTTCTTCATGTTCTTCAATTCCATGTAAAATTTACTGTATTTATAACTTTTGCCGCCTGTCAAACGGTTACTTGCGCTGTGTGCCGCGACGTAGTGACCCGTGACGTCAGCGTCTATTCCCACAGCCACAGCCTTGCATACAGAGACCCTCGGCAGCACTTGCAATACCACACCAATATTAATTTCCAAACAAAATGTTGACATTTTCCTAGCTTTATTCTTCGTGTTGTTTTACAATCGTCTGTTAAGTTCCATCCTTGGGAAAATAAAACTGTTTCAAAAGAGGTACGTGAAAAGAAATAGGTATGATGAGGGGAAGTTGTTTTCGGCATAACAGTTGGCATTCCGGAACAGCTTTGATTTGAAAAATAAGAGGAAGGCTTGTTTGGGTTCAAGCAATTTTTTATTTCTATTTCAAGAGCAACAATAGCAACAATAAGAAGGAAGCCTTAGGCAATATTTGTTTGTTCCACGCATTTTAGAAACAACCAGTACGTACTGTGAAGGAAAACAGGATTTTGAAACATTGCAAATAGCCGGTTTCTCAAATTGGTTCTAACCTGACTAATTATTTTCAGTGGCTCAAAACCCGTTTGTTTAAGTCCCAGACCAGGCGTTTCAGCAAAGGCACGCAGAAGAGCAACAATTTATGTCAGACCTGCCATGCCCCTGCACAGACCCAACCAATGCTTCGGTCACACTGGTAAGTTTCACTTTACAGGAATATTATTGTACCAGCCCACATGCTTCTCTAATCATAACTTTCAACTGTCTGTCCATGCAGAGAATCAACAGGCTACTAGAAAGGAGAGGAATAGCCCTGCTGTGCACAGATAGCAGGGTACGTGCAAGCGGTGAAGTGCGTAATTACTCTAGTGGGTTTTATACCCTTCACTTTATTCGGTGCTTTGAGGGGACAAGGGCTGCGCAAGTTCCCGCCCATGGACACAACACACAGAAAAGAGTTCGCACCCTGATTCAAGTACGTGTCCCTCCACCTGTAAACAACTCCCATTGCTGGCTTGTATCTGTTTTAACTCTATGTACAATTTCAGGATTTGTTTAATGGGGCCCATCTCTGCCCTGGTCCTGCAGGGCTGGGTTTGGCAATGGCTGAGGAGTTGCGGCCATTGCTGCAACCACGGGGCCAGTTTAATCCAGCGAGACATACCAAAGTGCCCATTCCCGGGGGGTATGTTTATGTGAGGAGATTCGACAGAAGAGGTGAAGTGTTTGTGGCCACCGCTGTCTGTGGATTCTGCTCTTTATGCACGAATTAAGTGTTAGGTAAAAGGTTTCAACAGATTTTCAATTTTTTATTATGTTTGTGCTGAGATTTTAATATTCGTGTTCATTTTAAGTCTTTTATTGCTTGATTTGATAAAATATTATGGTTGTGATATTTTACATTTTGAACATTTATTACTTCTTTAACTATTTTACTTATTTTAAGTAGTGCTTATTTCATAACCTTTTAAAAGTTATTTTTGTTATGGTTGTGATTTTTAAATATTTAATATTACTTTTCATGACTGATGTCTCCTAAGTTTAGTTTAAATCATGACTGATATTGCATAGTTTATAGGCCAAATATTGACAGTGATACGTCAGTAATTTTAAGCAGGGTAATTGTACCATAATGCAAAGAATACAAACGTTTAAAACTTTATAATATACCTCCTCAGTTACCCCTTCCTCTAAATACACCACTCTATTACTCAAAAGTACAACAGTGCTGGAAAGGGAGACATGGATCACAAGCCCTGGTAATTGTAACAATTTATTTCACCAATCAGTGCCCTTTTCAGGAAGAAATGGACCTCACACATAACACAATAGCTGTCGTATTTTTGGTCTGTGTGTGTTTCACTGTACCACGGCATTGGGTTGCTGATGCTAGGATACTTGGTGCATTGTTGAGGCCCAGTTGTTCATTCTCTTGTGAAACGAATCCTTCATCTGTGTCCCATCAACTGCCGTTCCTGTTTCAACTTCTGCCGTTCCTCCATCCCTTGAAAGGTAATACATTCTATCACCTGTACAAAGGCATTGCGGATTGTGTATATCATAAGAATATTGTAGGGTTATCATTCTCATGAAGGAATGGTCAATGGTTTTAATGGTGGTTACAGACTTACATGTTGTTGCCATTAATGAACCCATATTCCCTGCTTTGCTTTTTATAAATTATGTGTGATGATCAAAGAAACTGCGTAAATATGACACTAGTTCAAAGGTTTTCTTCTCTTTTCTGATAGAGAAAAAAGTTCCCAAAAAACCTGCTTCAATGATACATGGAGTGTCATTAAAACATTCAAATATTGATAATAATTTTTGTTCTTCACCAGACTCATTGTGCATTGACTATTGCATTAGAGTGATTGGCTGAGCGATTAGCGAAGCCTATTACTCCAGTGATCAAAAAGTTTCGAGTCTGTCTGTCTGTGTGTCTGTCTGTGTGTCTGTCTGTTTGTGTGTCTGTCTGTCATCACGATAACTCGAGAACGAATTAAGCTAGCGACCTGGGATTTTCAGGGTCGTTTTGTGTC